CATGATAGTACCATCTCCCTAATGTAGTTAAACATCTTTTAATGTGTTCTTTTCCATTCATATATCCACTTTGGTAAAGTCTCTATTTTAATATTTTGCCCATTTCTTTACAGGATTATTTTGTTTTCTTATCATTGAATTTTGATAGTTCTTTATATATTCTGGATACAAGTCCTTTATCAGATGTATGCTTTACAAATATTTTCTCCCAGTCTCTGGTTTGTATTTTTGTTCACTTAAAAGTGTCTTTCTAGGAGCACACATTTTTAATTTTGATGAAATCTAATACATAAATTTTCCTTCTATGGATAGTGCTTTTGGTGCCATATTGAAGAAATCTGCATAAAGCAAGGTCACAAAAATATCTCTTATGTTTTTTTCTCATAGTTTTATAGTTTTAGGTTTTGCATTTAAGTCCATAATCCTTTTTTTGTGTTAAATGTTGTGTATGTTGTAAGATGTGGCTTAAGGGTTTTTTGTTTGTTTTGCATATGATTGTTCAATTATGTTAACCCCATTTCTTTAAAAATTGGCTGGTTTTTCTCTGAATTATCTTTGCATATTTGTTGAAAATCAGTTGTCCATATGTATGTGGGTCTATTTCTGTACTCTGTCTTTCTTGTCTATTTTTAAACCAAAAAAAAAAACCTGTTTGGATAACTCTGGCCTTATAATGAGCCTCTGAATAAGTAGTTTTAATACTCCAACTTTGTTCTTCTTTTGTAAAGTTGTTTACACTATTTTAGGACCTTTACATTTCCATAAGAATTGTAGAATCAGCTTGTCAATTTCTACAAGTAGTCTACTAGGATTCTGATTAGGATTGTATTGAATCTAGAGATCCATTTGGTGATATTTGACACGTTTATTAGGTCTTTCAATGGATGAACACAATGTATCTTCCATTTTTTAAGCCTTCTTTAATTTCTCTCTGCAGGGTTTTGAAGTTTTTTGTGTACAGATCTTATATATTTTTCTCGGGTTTATATATCTTATTTTTATGCTATTTCTCAATGCCAGTATATAAAATGAAGTTGACTTTGTATACTAATCATGTATCCTGCAAACTTGCTAAAATAAGTTTAGTTTGTTTGTAAATTTTGTTTGATTTTGTTACATAGGTAATCATGGCATCTGAATATAAGTAATATTTTACTTCTTCTTTTTCAATCCAGACATCTTTTATTTCTCTTTCTTACTTCAGTATACTGGCTGGAAACTCCAGTAAAACACTGAATAGAATTGGTAAGGGAGAACATCCTTATTCTTGATCTTAGGGGAAAAGTGTTCAGTCTTTCACCATTAAGGACAATATGTTTTTCATAGATGTTCTTTATTCAGAATGTTATCTTCTATTCTTAATTTGTTGAGAGATATTTTAATCAGGAATGAATGTTGAAATTCTGTAAAATTTTTTTTAACATGTACTGAGAATATCATCTGGTTTTTCTTTTTATGTTTAATATGGCAAATTATAGATTGATTTTTGAATGTTAAACCAACCTTGCATTTCTCAAGTTAATCTCTCTTGGTAATAATACAACATTCTCTATATATTAATGGACTTGATTTGGACATTTTTCTTTACAATGTTTGCATCTATATTTAAGAGGGCTATTGATTTCTAGGTTTTTTAAATTTTATTAATATCTCCTTTCTAAATCTGTTGTTTTCTTTCTTTTTTCTTCTTTTCTTTTTTTTTTGATTCGCTCTTGTTGCCCAGGCTGGAGTGCAAATACACGATCTTAGCTCACTGCAACCTCTGCCTTCCAGGTTCAAGTGATTCTCCTGCCTCAGCCTCCCTAGCAGCTGGGATTACAGGCACCCGCCACCACACCCAGCTAATTTTTGTATTTTTAGTAGAGACAAGGTTTCACCATGTTGGCCAGGTTGGTCTCAAACTCCTGACCTCAGGTGATCCGCCTGCCTCGGCCTCCCAAAGTGCTGGGATTATAGGCATGAGTCACCGCACCCAGCCTGTTTTCTTATAATATCTTGGTCTTGCTTTGGTGTCAGGGTAATACTGGCCTCACAGAATGTGTTACGGAGGATTCCTTTCTCCACACTTCTGAAAAAGTTGGTGCATAACTGATATTATTTTTTCCATAAAAGTTTTGCACAAGCCATCTGGGTCAAGACTATTCCTTGTAGGAAAGTTTTAAACCGTTTTTAACTATCAATTCTATATCTTTAGTACATATTATAGTTATTCCAGTTATCCATTTCTTCTTGAACAAGCTTTATTAATTTGCGTATTTTAAGGAATTTGCCCATTTAAGTACTTAAATTTATTAACCTAAAGTTGTTTTTAATATTTCAGTTTACCTTTTAATATCTACAGAATCTGTAGTAATGTCACCTCTTCTATTCCTAGTATTGGTCATTTGTCTATTTTCCCCACTGGTATTGAGAAATTATGATGTTTCTTGTGCTTAAGAATGTAATGAGCGTAAATCTATGGCTTTATGGTTTTCAATACACTTGGAAAATTTCTGGTCATTATTTTCTCAGTAATTTTTTCTGTTTCTCTGTCTCACTCCTCCTCTTGGGGAACGCCAACTATTTATCTAGCAGGTTGCCTGAAGCTTTCCCACAGCTCACTGATGCTCTTTTCATTGTTAACATTTCTCTTTCTCCCTATGTTTCATGTGGAATCATTTCCAATGTTATATTTTTAAATTCACCAATCTTTTCTTCTGCACTGTTTAATCTGTGTTAATTTCCTCCAATGTATTTTTCACTTCAGACATTGTAAATGTTTTCATCTCTAGAAGTTTAATTTTGGTATTTTTTATATTTGTACCTCTCTCTAAACTTTTTTAATATATGGAATAAATGTATAATCATTTTAATGTCCTTTTCTCTAATTTTAATAACTGTGTCAGTTCAGATTCAATTTCCATTGGTTAAATTTTCATCATGAGTTCTATTTTTGGTTCTTTTTTGCATGTCTACTAATCTTTGATGGCATTCTAGAAATTGTACATTTTATCTTATTGGGTACTGGATATTATTATATTTCTATAGTCTTGAGCTTTGATCCCGGTGCAGTTAAATTACTTACAGTTTCATCATTTTAGGTCTTGCTTTTAAGATCTATTAGGGAGGACAAGAGCAACATTTAATTCAGGACTAGTTATTCCATATTACTGTGGCAAGACTCTTTGAGTGCTTATGAATTATGAGGTTTTCTGTTCTGACCGTGCATGCAGGCACTATTCCCAGCCCTATGTGAGCACCAGGCATTGTTCCCTCTAATTTTCTCAAGTAGTTGCTTCCCTGACCTCTGGCAGTTTCACGTGTCATTGATTGGGTCTACTGAATGCTTGTGTAGGGACCCGCCACAAATCTATGAAGATCTCTGTCTCTGCAGCTTTATCTTCCCTGGTAGTTTATCCTAAATACTGTAGCCTACATTGGTTCTCCAGACCTTCAACAGCATCTCCTCATATCAGAAGTCTGCCAGGCTCTGCCTGTATTCCTCCCTATCTCCCCTCTCCAAGGTCTGGAAACTCAAGAAGATAAGTTGGTAGAATCGTAGGGCTTACCTTGTGTGTTTCTCATCTCTCAGGGATCCTTGTCCTTCATTGCCTGATGTCCAGTGTCCCAAAAACCATTGTTCCATATATTTTGTCTAGTCTGATTCGGCTATTTCAGGCAAGCTGGTGCTATGGTTTGAATGTCCCCTCCAAAACCCATATTGAAATTCAATTGCCATTGTAACAGTGGTGACATCTGGGGTCTTTAAGAGGTTATTAGATAATGAGGGCTCTGCCCTAATGAATAGATTACTGCCATTATCACAGGGATGGATTAGTTATTGTGGGAATTCAGCCACCTTTCTCTCTCCATCTTGTGCTTTCACTTGCTCTTCTGCCTCCACCATAAGAATAATGCAGCACAAAGGCCCTGGCAAGATGCCAGCCCCATGATCTTGGACTTCCCAGCCTCCAGAACTGTAAGCCAAATAAATTTCTTTTTGTTATAAATCATCTAGTGTGTGGTATTGTTAAGGCAACACTAAGTAGACTAAGACAGGTGGTAAATCTGGTCCCTATACTCCATCTTGCTTAGAAGTAGAAGGCTGTGTGTGTGTGCGTGTGTGTGTGTGTGTGTGTTGTTGTTTTTTCAGTTTCTTGAATGTGCTTATTTATCATTTATTAAATTCACTTTTCATTTTTAATGGAGGCATTTAATGCTTAAACATTCATTTTCGTAGGGCTCTAGCCAATTGTGACAGGTTTGAAACATGATTTTCTCCTGTTCCTTACTTTTAAATTTAAAAAAATTAGATTACATTTCCTGTATATTCTGATGGTTGCTTTTAAATTTCTATTGTTTTGGGTGTTTTGTTTTGTCTGCCATTTTTGCTGTTTTTCTGCTGTTCATTTTTTTTGTACTGCATGTGATTAAAGAATAAAGTGTATTGGGTTTATTTTATTCTGTAATTTATTGAGTTTTTTCCCTCAAAGTTTCAGTTAACTGACATTTTCTCTAAATCCTACAAATAATGTGAGTTCCCTTTGTTGTGTATATACTTTCTCTCTCTCCCCATCTATTTATATAGATGCACGTACATATATGTGTGTATATGATTACGTTAATTTTGCTGCTTACTATCTCTATTTTATTACATGTCATGTTGAGTTTCTTTACATCTGAAAATAATTATTAGGTATATTACCAGATGTGGGGTTGCACAGTGAGGGACTATCAGGGAACACTGTACACTGGTGATAAAAGTCACGGTAATAAGGTCGTATTTTTCTATGATCTAAATTTATCTTTTTTGCCAAAATTAAACTTTGACATTTCCTCATGAACAATTAAGGCTTCCACAAAAAGTTATTTTTGGCATTCAAACTAGTAAATATTCAATGTAATTTTTATATAAGTACATGAATGATTTATACAATTCAAAGGCAAACTGTAGACTGCAAAAGATTAAAATAATAAAACTATGGAAAAAGAAAACATTTTTCCTTTGCCATAATACTTACCTTAATGGGCCCAATGTGGGGAGATCCTTTAATTGTTGCAAGTATGACTTGAGACTCTTCTAACTGAGCTGATATGTCATCTATAGATGGTATTATGAAGATAGAGTAAATCTCTGTGTGGTGAAGAACTAAATGCAAAGGAGTAATGTTCCAAAAATCAATAATCTTAAATAGCATTTTTTCAAGAGCAGCTTCATTAGTTGCTGAAGTTGACATATCATTTATTTCATTTTCATACTGAAACATCTAAAATGAACAAATTATTCTTTAGTATCCAGTATAGCAAATAATTCCTGATATGTCTAAAATGGAAAAGGCACATCAAAAATATTGAAGATCTAATTCCAGTTAGGTTTACATCCTTACCAGCAACTTTATGGTCTAACCTTCACGACGTATCCCTTTGCACTTTAAAATCATCCTATTTCACGTTTTTCATAATCAGTGAAAATTTCCAACTTTCCTCTGATTCTAGCCAGTTATAAAGAGTATATACCTTCTGTATACGTGTAGGTGGTATTATTTCCTTCAGCATTCTTTCCTCTGCCCTAATGCCAACTGCTGAATTACTTTGTGACATGCTTTTACTCTCTACAATATTCTTGGGATATATTCATGTAAGAGAATGCAATTCTGATGGATCCCAATTTCCATGGCTTCCATTTCTTTGCCTCATTTCTTTCAGGATACATGTTTCTTAAAATACATTAGTGGAGTATATACAGACCTTCTTACCATGTGCACTACCCTGCAATTCCTACAGGACAAGATCCTGATATAAGATCTCCAGAGTCACTCACTATAATAGAGATACTCAGAGACCTTCTCATCTACACATCTTAGAATTAACTAGTTGGGCTTATTGTTTTATAGCTGGTAGGTAAGACTCTGCCACCATTCCTGTATGTCATCTCTATAGTGTTAAAGAATAATGCCCAATCCCTATGTTTTAGTAACGCAACTCAGTGGGGATTATGAATAGATATGACTAGTTTTCATCATTTCTCTTATATGCTTGCCAAAGATGAATTATAAGGATGGTGGGATCAGTTACTTCTTATGGCCTTAAGTAACAGTTTTGGAAAAGAAGCCTACCTTTTGACATAGATTATTCAGTCAAAGGCAGATAAAGAACTATAGAACCATCAAAGTTCGTGCCTAATGCTAACATTCTGAGATTGCTAAAAACTAAATCCAGACACTGATAATGTGTAAAGCAAAATTTCAGTGAAGTGAATCTAGCCTTGTCAAGTCTTTATGGTCAAAGTATGGGACCTGACTGACAAATAGTCAGATCTTCCAACTGACTTGATAATAGCTGGGTGGTTTCAGCTGAATCTTGACGGTTGTAATTAATTATCTAACTTCATTATAAAGCATATGGCTTTCCAAAGTGAAAATTATCAACCATAAAATGATTGATAAGTGTTCATCACATGCATACCATTGAGCTCTTGCTCTTAATTTACTTCATGAAATGCTTTTCATGTGGTAGGTTTTTCAGAGCCTGCACAACATCTTGGACAAAATGGTTGTCATATAACTGCAAGCCATCATACTTTATTCATTTAATAAAACTTCTAATATGACCTATCTTGGAAAGTCTTGCAGCGTGACCACCACCTCTGGGTCAATCCTCCAAAATGCAAGTTTTAATAAATGAAGACTGAGTTTCTGGGCCAAATCCTGTCCATTTTGGCATCTATATTATACTGGATACATTGTCAAATTTCTACAGGATGACCAAAATCATCCAGGAACTCTTAGAGTTCACTTGAAATTACCAGCTGATTGCCTTCTTATCCCTTCTGTTATTACAATTATCTTCAAGAAGAAGAAGGAGTTCCTCTAACTCCTCACTGCAGTATTTCAAAGGCTGAAGACCTTGCTCACTTTTGTTCACATGTCAAACTGTCCTAATTGGGGCCCTCTAAAAAATGCATAGGACTTCCTTTGTAAACTATCTATTAATGTTAGACATGTAATAGCTGATTGGAACCCTTTGAGTTATTACAGGCCACCATCCCCATGTAGGCCACCAGCTGCTATCATATGTACCTATCTACCCTAACTTTTATAGCTTGCTGCTACATTTAGTCTGAAAAATTCTCACCCTTTATCTAACTTTACCCAAGAATAGTTCCAATAACCCAAGACTGGAAATAAAAATACCACTAAAATTGTGCTAGATTTTATGCATGCTGATTTGAAATAAATTCATCTGTTGGTATTTGCTCTTATGCTCTGACATCATCTAGCTACCTTGCTGAATTCTCCTTGGCATGTATATCAGTTGGGCATGTATATCAGTTAGGAGGCTCTAAAATGAGATATTTAGATACGATGAATAGTATGAAGAAGATTCAGAATTATTTCATGATTTTTAGTGTAAACAATTGGAAGAATGGAGCTACCATCAACTGAGATAAGAAACACAGAGGAAGAGTAGAATTTGGAGATGGAGAATGAAAGGTGAATGTTTTTGACATGTTTTGATACGTTTTTGACATATCTCAACTTAGACATATAAGTTGAGATACTGAATAGGAAATTGCATATGTGAATTTGGAGTTCAGGAGAAAGTTGAGATTAGGGCTGGTGATAAAAAATAATCTAATTTTTAAAAATGAAAGTTGTTTTTTAAAAAATTCTTCTTTTGAAATTCTTTAAAAAAAAAAGTGCCCATGTTCCTCATTACAACAGATTATTTAGTAGAGAATTACAGGAATAAAATACGTGTTTTGATTACATTATATGTTGTCAGCCATGAAACATTAAACATAAATGAAGCTTATTGCAAGTTAGGCATGAAAATAGAAAATTTTCAATCATGGAAAAATTGAAAAAAGTATTTTTTATTATAAAACTTACATGGAAAGTCAAATAGTTGTTTATTATGCATTTTAAATATAATGTCAAGTTATATATATGTTAAGGTAGGGCAATTCTTACATGTCTTAACATATTTTCATTTTACATATAATGAACACAGTGGTTTTGATATTTCCATTCCTATAAAATGTGTTCTGTATTAGTAGTACTGTTAAATAATGAAGCACTAATTTCATTTGTCATACATGAAAACCAGTATTACTGTTTTTTAATCACCTAAATAATAATGGAATAATTAATAGCTTACCCAATATCTCCAATTAAATAATTTCCTATCACCTATTATTCTACAAACGTACTATTATTTTCCCAGGCACTCATAAACTTCCTTTCCTAATTCCTATTCGTTGTATATTTACTTGCCTATTTAAAATTGGCCCATCTGGTATTTCAACCTATTTTTTTAAAAAACCATTTTTATTTACCTTGAGAGCTAGAAGATTCTCTACTTTACAGTTTTTATCAAGGGTAACTGACTTCCCAATAGTCTCCTGGAGAGCCTCCCAATGCCTTGGCTTGAGACAGGGATTTCCCAGAGCTATAATGATAGGCAGCTCTTGTTTAAACTCTGTTACCACTTGCTTAAGATGTGTCAGCATATCGCTTTTAGGTAAACCTATAAATGACAATGGGTCAGTAGGCTTACAATATGTTCATTATATTTTTTAAACAAAAAAATTGAGAAAAGATTTTTTTTCTTTAAAATTTGTTAAACACGCCTTTATCAATTATTAAACTACATTAAAATAACATGAAGCAGTGAGCTTTATTAACATCACCCTTCCATGAGAATCAACTATGCATTAAAATAAAGAGAAATAGTTATAAGGACTGGTGACTAAAGCCCAACTATCACAACCAAATTATCTTAGAAAATTTGATACCTGGAACAAAAAAAAAAGAAAAAAAAAAGAAGAAATAAAGAAAATTTGATACCAGGAGTGGCCAGCTACCACAGGTTTCCCAGATTTTCCCTGACATGATAAATATACAGACAAATGGGTACACATGCACAAGCACACACACGTGAGCACACACACACAAACACACACACACAGCACAAACATTCAGAAGACTGTCATAGATTCTGGGTATTTATTTATTTAAATAACATCTTAACATAGCAAGATGAGGTCTTGCTGTGTTGCCCAGACTGGTCTCAAACTCCTGGCCTTGAATGATCCGACCACCTCAGCCTCCCCAAGTGCTGTGATTACAGGCATGAGCCACTGTACTCAGCTGGTTTGGGTTTTTTAAAGTTTTGGTAAGTAGGGAAGAACATCAAGGGAAAAAATATACCATCACTACGATTTCATTAAAAAATACTTTAACACCAAAATGTAGGAAATGTAGGTGACAGCTTTGCCACAGACCAGCACTAGTCTGTCCTCTGCCACTGACAAACTACTGAAGTACAGGATTCAAAACCTATGGAGTGGAAGATTCAACTCTTACAACCTTTTTACTCAACTTGTAAAAGAAAGAGGAGGGGGCCAAAGTTAGAGACTCAGGAGAACTGAAAACTTCACCCATACACTCAAAAAACCAATTTGTATACATGGGGCTTCTTTTATAAAGCCATATTAAATAGTAATATGTTTTTAAGACCTGATTAAATAGAAGATCAAGAATGTAACTTTAGTTTTGCCAGTCTAGACTTTGGCAAACAGCAAGATTTTATCTGGGGAACCATGGGCAAAAGAAGGTATCATCTAGTTGTTACTTTACTGTTCTCTGAAGCATGTATATAACAAAATATTAAGAGGGGATGCACACAATGAGTGTTATGTTAAAGAGACTGCAATTTGCCCCCAATTGTTCTCTTTTCTAAACTTCTGTGCTATTGTTATATTTCTTACATAATTTTAAAACAACTGAAATAAAGTGTTTTTCTGGCTTTTCTGGAGAAGAAATTTTAGTTTAAGGTATAGCTGAGTGATAGGGGAGAAGTCTTTAAAAAAAATACAAAGATATTCTCTTGGCCAGGTGAAACAACATCTCCCTTTTGGAAAGGGATATGATCTTACAGAAATGCTCTCACAAAAAGCAGTATCTTTGCATTGGCAAGATTTCAAATTTGATAATTAAAATAAAATAAACCTCTAAAAATTACACTGTTTACCCACTGCCCTAAAGATAATGATTATGCAGATGGTCCTTTATCATCAAAACATCTCCGACTAGTGCCCTAAGAAGGGCCATACTCAGGGTGAGGTAGCTGGGGTTCTATGCAGGGAACCAACTTTTAAAGGACACAAAAATTGTTAATTACTTAATAAAACTTCTTTGACAAGGACTTAATCTCTTTTTTGCTTCAATAAAATTCCTACCTATACTCCTGTACTGTAGCTCTAGCCATAATGGTCAACCCCTGAGAACAGGTAAAGAAACAAGCCAAGGACAATGCTCTTGATGTCCAAAGGCCATTTGGTACATAGATCTAGGTGGGAAAATTTGAGAAACACATTTTTACCTTTTTCTAATACCGAGATTATGTGCATCAGTTTTGAAACATTTTTCTGTACTGATTCAACATCAATACTTTGAAGAGAACAATTCCTCCATTCCGAAGAGGCTTGCCTCCACTCCTCTTGTGCTTCCCATAATTTTTTCCTCAAAGTCAAGTCACATTCAATGTCAGAGATCTCTGAAAGCACAATCTGTGTAATTTCTTCCACATTAATAGAATGCATATGAGATTGAGAATCACTGAAACAATCCTGATAGCTTGAATATGCTTTAGCTTTGTTAGTTAAACTTGCAGCTTCCCCTGAGAGAGTCTGGATCATTTCCATTGCCGTTGACACTTGAGTACCAGCACATAACAAAAGAGGAGTTCTTATCTAAAAAATAAGAGTAGGACTTTCTAAGAGAAATCGGTATGTCTAGAACATACCTGTTTTACTGGCAGTGAAAGCATTTTAGTACATAATCTAGGCTTTTACCTGATAAGTGAGTGAAATTGGAACTATCATTACCATTTTGCCCAGACAAAGATAAAGACTGGCCCAGAAAGATTTCAGGGGGTTTTAGTCCTTTTTATGCCATGAGCCCATTTGGCAGTCTCTTGAAGCCTATGGTAAAAGTCACCAGCCATGCTGCTGTTTGTTCCCTACATTCACTCATAGTTGAGAAAATGCTAAGTTCCAGTTAGAAATTAGTGAAAATGGAGATGTAATTTTACTTCCCATTCAAATTCACAAATCACCAAAATTCTGTCTGTGAATCCCAGTTTAAGAATACTTGTATTAAATTGTTTAGCCAAAATTCCACTGAAAGCAAATACCCAAACGCCTGGACTTATGAGACTAAGGTCAAGTTTTTAATTAAAAAAATCCGAAAAAACCTAAAAACTTACCTTGGCTTTTAAATTGCTAACATCAACACGCAGACCACTGATACATGCTTCCAAGTTATCTCTGAATTTAGTTAAAGCAGTGTCTTTATTTACTATACTTAACTTCATAGATGATTTTAGTTGACTAAACTTAATATGAAGAACTTGGAATATGGCAATTTGCTCTTCTGAAATATGGGTCTGGTGATGGGTTACAACAGAATATAGCTGAGAAATTGTTAAGTACTCTTTTTCTAATTTAGATATTTTTGAGGAAATTGTATTCAAAAAAATAAAATGCTCCACGAATTCTTCTATTTCAGTGGGATCACATTCCAGCTGCTGCAATGATGATTCCACAACCTGAAATCAACATGTCAATTATAATTGTGTAATGACTTTTCACCATTTTGAAAGACTAATTATTCTTTTTAATTTCTCTTACTTATATAAGTCTAATTTCAAACAATAATAAAAACATCATATATTAGTCTGTTCTCACACTGCTATAAAGAACTGCTTGAGACTGGGTAATTTGTGAAGAAAAGAGGTTTAATTGACTCACAGTTCCACAGGCTGTACAAGAAGCATGGCTGGGAGGCCTCAGGAAATCTACAATCATGGCAGAAGGTGAAGGGGGAAGCAAGCACATCTTACCAAGGAAGAAAAGAGGAGAGAAACAGAGAGACAGAGAAAGAGAGAGAGAGAGAGAGAGAGAGAGAGAATGAATGTGGGAGTGCTACACACTCTCAAACAACCAGACCTCCTGAGAGCTCCATTGCAAGAACAGCAAACAACCAGACCTCCTGAGAACTCCATTGCGAGAACAGCAAGGGGGAAGTCCACCCCCATGATTCAACCACCTCTCACCAGTGCCCCCATTTCAACATGTGGGGATTACAATTTGACATGAGATTTGGTTGGGGACACAGAGCCAAACCATATCACATAATCTAGACATAATTCTAAGCATTATTTAAGTACTGGGGCATTAACATGACCAAATCCTTCTACTGTTAACAAAAGGCACTTGAATGTATCCCACATATAAAATAAATGCTATTAAGACATAAAATAAGTAAATTGTGGATAACAATTTTTAAGAAATGTAATATAAATGGCAAATTATGACTGAAATGTGAATGGTGCATAATAATTGCTACAACTTTTTGAGCATGTATGTGATAGGTTCTTTAGGTACATGATCATACTTTATTCAGATAGCATATTTCCTAATTAAGTATTTTTTTCTAATTTGCACAGGAGGAAACTCAGTCTTAGAGGGATTTATTGTACCAAGATCAGAAATGTAGTAAGTTACAGAACTGTGATTCAAACCCAAATTGATTCCAGATCTCATTATTTTCCACCATACTTATATCTATTATATTTATAACCTCTATACTTTTCAAAGGTGTATATAAATTACTCCATAAAATGCTTGAAGTAATTGCATTTCTGTGCTGGAATTACAATTTTGTCATATTTTTTCATGTTTCAAGAGCTCTTAAGGAGTATGCCTGCATAATTTTATGTAATTTTGGTATGAAAGTCAGTTCAATTTTTAATCTTCACAGCCTTGAATTAATTTCATATATGTGTGTGTCTAATGTGATATTAAAATAAATGTTCACGTAAAAATCACAATACACAAAAGTTTATAAGATGGAAAAGTTTATCAGATGGTCAACTATTATTCCATTACCGAGAGATTACCATTGTTAATCCATCAGAAATTTTATTATGGGGTATGTGTGTGTCTCCTTGCCACAGAGTTTATATTAAGAGGCCTTAAAATCAGAGAAACTTATTTTTGATCCCAGCCTCAGTATTTACTAACTGCATGAACCTCAGCAAATAGCTTTATTCTAATAAACTTATTGTCCTCATCTGTACTTTGGAGATCAAATAAAATAATTTAGTAATGGACTTATAATGTACCTGGCACATGGAAGGTGCACCAAGAATGATCATGTCAGTAGACTGAGTAAACATAACTATTTAGACTCCAATACAGATACTAATCAAATGCCCCCCAAATTTTAAAATACATATTTATATCACAAACAATGAAATAATTCCAATCTCATATAAATCAAGAGAATATAAAAAGGTAAAATATACCCAAACTTCATTTATGACACTAGCAACATATTGATACCAAAACCAGATAAGGATGGTAAAAGAAAATTATAGATAACTTTCACTTATAAACATAAATACAAAAACCTTAAAAATAATATATATGCATGTGTATGCACATGCTGGTAAGGTAAATGTATCAATTTGGATGTGAGACTACCCTTAGAAAGTCAATTAATATAACTCCCCACAAGGTTAAAGGAAAACTGCAAGATTATCTTAATAGATGTAATGAATAAGCATTTGATAAAATTCATTTACAATAAAAACTCTTACAAACTAAAAATAGAAAGTACTTTCTTATTGTTCAATTTCCACCTATGAGTGAGAACATGTGGTGTTTGGTTTTCGGTCCTTGTGACAGTTTGCTGAGAATGATGATTTCCAACTTGGACACAGGGCGGGGAACATCACATACTGAGGCCTTTGTGAGGGTGAGGGCTGGGGGAGGGATAGCATTAGGAAAAATACTTAATGTAAGTGATGAGTTGATGGGTACAGCAAACCAACATGGCACATGTATACCTATGTATCAAACCTGCACGTTGTGCACACGTACCCTAGAACTTAAAAGCATAATAATAAAAAAAAGTATTTTATTTAACCGTATAAAGGGAAGCTACCAAAACCCTCAGGAAATATAAATACACTCAGGATAAGCAGCAGCCAGAAAGAGGATGAATAAACAGAACTTTCAGAACAGATTCTTTGAAAAATAGCTCAGAAACAACCTTCTGGTACTGGTACAAGAAAAGGCACGTAGACCAAGGGAACAGAACGGAAAACCCGGAAATAGGACCACACACCTACAACTATCTGATCTTCGACAAACCTGACAAAGAGAAGCAATGGGGAAAGGATTCCCTCTTCAATAAATGGTGCTGGGATAACTGGTTAGCCACATGCTGAAGACTGAAATTGAACCCCTTCCTTATGCCATATACAAAATTTAACTCAAGATGAATTAAAGACTTAAATGTAAAACCCCAAACTATAAAAACCCTGGAAGATGACCCAGGCAATACCATTCATGACATAGGCACGGGCAAAGATTTCATGATGACGATGCCAAAAGCAATTGCAATAAAAGCAAAAATTGACAAATGGAATCTAATTAAACTAAAGAGCTTCTGCACAGCAAGAGACTATGAACAGAGTAAACAGCCCACAGAATGGGAGACAATTTTTGCAAACTAGTCATCCAACAGAGATCTAATATCCAGCCTCTATAAGGAATGTAAACAAATTTACAAGAAAAAATCAAACAACTCAATAAAAAAGTGGGTAAAGGACATGAACAGTCACTACATGCAGCCAACAATTACATGGAAAAAAAGCTCAACATAACTGATCATTAGAGAAATGCAAATCAAAACCACAATGAGCTACCATCTAATACCAGTCAGGATGGCGATTATTAAAAAGTCAAAAAATAACCGATGCCTGTGAGGTTGTGGAGAAAAAGGAATACTTATACACTGTTGATGAGAGTGTAAATTAGTTCAGCCATTGTGGAAGACAGTGTGGCGATTCCTCAAAGACCTAAAGATGGAACTACCATTTGACCCAGCAATGCCATTACTGGGTATATATGCAAAGGAATATAAATCATTCTATTATAAAGACACATGCATGCATATATCCATTGCAGCACTGTTCACAATAGTAAAGACATGGAATCAACCTAAATGCCCATCAATGATAGACTAGCTGAAGAAAACATGGTATGTATACACTATGGAATATTATGCAGCCATAAAAAGAATGAGATCATATTCTGTGCAGGGACATGGATGAAACTGGAGGCCATTATCCTTAGCAAACTAATGCAGGAATAGAAAACCAAATACCACATGTTCTCACTTGTAAGTAGGAGCTAAATGATGACAGCACATGGACACATAGAGGGGAACAACACACACTGGGGCCTACTGGAGGGTGGAAAGTGGGAGGAGGGAGAGAGTAAGGAAAAATAAGTAATGGATTAATACATGGCTGATTAAATAATCTGTATAACAAACTCCTTTGACATGTTTACCTATGTAACAAATCTGCACATTCTGCACGTTCCCCTGAACTTAAAAGTTAAAAAAAGACACATGTACACACGTTTATAGCACCACATTTTACAACTGCAGAAATATGGAAACAATCTAAGTGCCCATCAACCAATAAGTGGGTAAATTAAATGCGGTATATACACATCATGGAATACTAGTCAACTATAAAAAAGGAACAAAACAATGTCTTTTGCAGAAACTTGGATGGAGCTGGAGGCCATTATTCTAAGTGAAGTAACCCAGCAATGGAAAACCAAGGATAATATGTTCTCACTTATATGTGGGAGCTAAGCTATAAGGATGCAAAGGCATAAGAACAATATAATAAACTTTGGGGACTCAGGTGGGAAGGGTGGGAGGGGGGTGTGAGATAAAAGACTACATATTGGGTACAGTGTATACTGCTCAGTTGATAGGTGCACCAAAATTTCAGAAATCACCACTAAAGAACTTATCCATGTAACCAATAATCACTTGTACCCCAAAACGATTGAAATAAAAATATATAATAAAAATAAATTAAAAATTAAAAAATGAAGACTGAAAACTGTAAAACTTCTAGAAGAAGACAGGGGCAAAGCTCCATGATGTTGGTCTAAGCAATGATTTCTTGGATATGACCCTGAAAGCACAAGCAACAAAAGCAAAATGAGATGAATAGGATTACATCAAACTAAAAATCTTCTGCAAACCAAAGGAAACAATTCATAGACTGAAGGGACAGCCTATGAATTTGGAGAAAATATTTTGCAAGCTATACATCTGATAAGGGGATAATTTATAAGCAACTCAAATACCTTTACAGAAAGAAAATAAACAATCCAATAAAAAGTAGATATGTCTCAAGAGAAGACATACAAATGGCCAACAGATATATGAAAAAAAAATGCTCAATACCACTAATCACTAGGGAAATTCAAGTTAAAATCACAATGAGTCATCACCTTACACCTATCAGAATAGCTATTATCAAAATGATGAAAGTACATGTGGCAAGGATTTGGAGAAAAGAGGACAGTTGAACACTGTTGTTTGGAATATAATTTCATACTGCCCTTTTGGAAAACTGTATGGAGGTTCCTCAAAAAACTAAAAATAGAATTACCACATGATCCAACAATCTCACTTCTGGGTATTTACCCAAAAGATCTGAAACAAGTA